ACCAGCCAGCCCTCAGTATCATCCAGCCCAAATCTGCCCGTGCTTCTGGCTCAGACAGCTTTTCAGTGACACGTTCATGGAACTCAGACACTTTTTTAGCCAATTATCTTCCTGCTATCCAGTGGGGAGTGTGCTGTTTCCAATAAAACTGGGGAAAGCCAGAGTAAATCTGTCTGCTTAGTATCTAGTGCACTGAGCAACTTAAAACAAGGAGCACATATGCTGTACAGGCCACATCTAATCCTGAAAGTTCTTTGCAGCTTTTCCTGGTTCCTGGGATTGAAGTGTTTAACAACACTGGCTGACCTAGGAGAAAAGTGACACTCATTGCTCCTTTACTGCCTGACCCCATCCCTGACATTTAAGAATTATTTAAGTGTTTAATAAGGGTGTCTTAGTCAGGACTCATCTCCCCAGCAGCTGTACAGTGTTTGTCAGCAAACCACGCAGTCTAACTCAAATTTTCAGTGTTTAAGGTAACACTCAGTGCTCAGAGAGCCCATCAGGATAACACCAGGCACTGGCTGAAACCTCCCATGCCCAGCCATGAATGGTCAGTAGTGGCCCAAGACAGCCAAGTGCACCAGGCAACTACAGGGACTATCCAGATGGGAAGGGCAGACAACATTTTTCCTAATAAAGCCTGATAGGATGTCTGAAAAGGGCCTTAGCCCTTTGTTAAGCTTCAGAAGCCAGGCAAGAAAGTTCCAGGAATGTGAGTCATCCCACAGGATGGGTCACGGTGGACATTCAGGATGTGCACTTTTAAAGAGGTGAAGGTGCAGCGTGCTACAGACGAGCAGTGCAGAAGGGCCAAGTTATCCCCCGGGGAACACACACATTGTCATTGATTATGGAAGGCTTCCTACATCCTTTGGAATACAGATGAAGTGCATGGTCTTCCAAGCAGCCTGTGAGCTCTCAGACTCTGCTCTGAAAGCAAGGGGAACAGAAAAGAGCAGGGCAGAGAAAAGGAGCTGATTACACAGTAGCCAAATTTCACCACCTCACACTTCCAACAAGCAGACACAGATGTACAAGTGAAAACACCGACTTTGGAGACGTGATGTATAAAAAAACTCCACATGTTGGACTTCCAGAGCCTCCAAAATATGTCAGTGCACCTCAGGTTTGTTTCTGCAAACATGCTGCTACAAAAAGCCCTCGGAATTTCAGCAGTATGGAAATAAAATCCCTCCCACCAGGACACTGCTCCCCTTCTGGCCATCACAGAGGCAGGGGAAGGAGGATTCTCCCTGAGTTCTGCACTAAAAAACCCTGCAGCTGCCTTGTCAAAAGGAACTCTTTGAGGATGTTTTTTTTCTTTTTCTGGGAGCATCTGCATTCAAATAATATTTTCTTAGCAGTGAGGTGATAGCTGCTCCTTTAATACAATTTTCATCAACAGTCTAGAAGCAACTTATGCCATCTATTTTGCTTAGAATCCTTTTTCCAACCGTGACTGCAATTTCACAACTTCAGGCCACCTCCTCTCCGAGGAACTGCTCTGAAATCCTGTATAATTAATGTTTTAGGTCATGATTATGGTTTGTTATTGCTAAAATATTGAGGGCATTAACAGTAACTTGACAAGTAGTTCTACAGGCCAAGAGGTACAGAAGAAGAAGACTGTCATGGAAAACCTGAAGCCTTCTTAAAAAAAAAAAAAAGGTGAGAAGATGTAAAAAGCTTTACTATGGCAACAACTCATATGGCTCATCCAGAGCTTGGCACCGCTGTGGCCCCACCAGAGCCGCGGCCAACCTCCATCTCCACTTCCTGTCATCTGATGTGGCTGCGAGACAAACCTGCAGCTCCCCCGTTTCCTTTTCCTCCTCTCTTCCTCCTGGCACCCCGAGCGCTATTCAGACGCAGGCAAGGCTTCCTCTGAACAATGCTGTCCCAAGGATCCCGCGCGGGGACCGGGCCACATGCAAAAACTATTATTGCGAGGAATTCTGCCCCACCGGGAGCCAGCGGGGGGCTGTAACAACAACTTGTGCTCACATTGTTTTCTAGGTGAGACTCATCGAGATGGGATCCTCGACAAGCAGCACAGCAGCTGAGGAAGTTGAACACTCGCTACTTCATAGCCGTGGAAAATGAATGGGCATTGAAAGGCTACGGGAAACCAGAGCATGTGAAGCAGAGAGCTGAACATGGAATCTCTGCCTGTCCAAAATGCTGAGAAGTCTCAGAACAGGAGAGAACATTACAAACAGGAATGGGCAGGGGAGGCAATTCCAGCCCACCTGGCACACGGAGGTGTAACTGAGCTATGTGGTTTTGCCCCGTGGGGTGGGAGCACTGAGGGGGGATGAGATCACACACGGAGCCACAGCACATCCCCTGTGCTGCCAGCTGGGACACAGATGATGGGGTGACACCAAACCACGAGGACCTGCTGCCATCCTCATGCAGACCCCATGGCAGGGATCTCACAGCTTCCAGAGTGCCTGGAGACACCAGGCTATGTCACAAGCAGCTGTGAGGTCCCCTGGTGCCAGCTGTCCTCCCTCCAGCTGCTGAGAACACACTCAGGAGGCTCCCAACACCACCTGCTCCCACAGGCACACAGTGCTCTAAGGATGCTGGATAAAAAGTCACTCACAAACACTACCAGCAAGGAGGAATGCTGGAGAGCCACCACAACCCAGAGCACAGGGCATGTCAGCACCCCCAGCTGAGTCCTACTCACTTGGTGTGTGCAGTAACCTCCAAAAGCATCAGCCCCCAGGCTGCAATCTGTGGGCAGCCCTACATTTATGAATGCCTGCTCCTGCAGCTTGTGCTCCAATGTGTACATTACCTATTAACTCCCCAGCACTTGACTGCAGCTCTAGTTTGCTCTTTAAATGGAAGCGTTGGATTGATTCAAGACTTTCTGATCTCATTTCTGCTCAAGAGAGTCACAACCACTTATTAACTCTGCCAACAACTCAATCAACCTTACTCAAATCCAACATAGAAATAACAAAGGCAACTCTTTATAAAACAGATAAAAGAGTAAATGCAGAAACACTTCGTTTTCAGGGGTTTGATTTAGTCATGTGAGTAGTAACCTCAACAGGAATAATGCAGAAGAACAACTAGAACTAGAGATGTAAGCCCTTAGCATGAGAGAATAAGGGTCAAGATGATTTACAGAACCTTCCTGACCACACACTTTCTCTACATTGACAATGTGTTAACAGGAGCTTCCTCTTCTTTTATTCACAAGGAAATGGAGATACAACATCATTTGCAGGAGAGAAGAGCCGTTTTAAAGCAAAACAAAAAGCAATTATAAAGCCTAAAATAAGCAGCAAGCACTGTCACTCATCACTGGGCAAACTTTAAACATTTAGGAATATAAAAGCCCTGGAGGTTTGAGAACCCTGGAGAAACCACCAAACTCGCTTCATCCAAGAGATGAAAACAGCACATTTTGCCATATAAACCTATTACTTATCTGGCCAAGATTAAAAGGAACAACCTACACTGAAATGGTCTTTAATACCACTAAGGATCACCCTGGGAAGTGAAGGATCCAATGTACTCATACCCTTCACTCCTGCCCTCACACTAACCCAGGTCCTGAATCCCTGGGGACACAGCAAACAACACTCAAGAATTCCTATATCTAATTTCACGTGGTCAGTGAATGTGGACAAACCACAGCAAACCACAGAGCTGTGGGATAGAAGTGGTAATTAATGCAGAAACCTCCCAAAGCTGAATGGCTGAAATCACAATGCATTAATGATTCCATTTAGAGGCTATTAGGGAGCCGCTCTGTTCAGATGAACCACACTTAGAATAAAACCCCAGCACCTGCACACACACAAAAAGAACCAGGAAGAAAAAGTATTCCACGACAGGCATACACAATAGTTAATCAAAATGCTTGTTTGTTATGAGTATGTGAAGCCCAAATTGTTTTGGTTTGCTTTCCTTTTTGTACAACCTAGTGATTTCACGGCACCCTATCCAAACATTGGACAGCACATCACATTCCCTTGACAATTTAGCTGTTCAAATGTTATGCTCGCTCAGGAGATAATTACCCATAGCCTGGAGAAAACACGAAATACTCACACACTTTTGATTCGTGTATTTCCCCATCACAGCAGCCAGTCCCACCACTCCCACCTCCTCACCATCCATTGCTGCAGTCACTCTCCTCTGCTTAACTCACACCCGGCAAAACACCAAAACAAGGCTGGTGATTGACACAGAATCCTGCCTGTCAGGTCTCCCCTGCCCACCCTCATTTCTCCACAGACCCCAACCACTCTGGCTACAATTTCCAGGGCTATGCTTTGCTTTATCGTTGCTTGTACCACTGTCACCCTGAAAGCCTCCAGCCTGATATCCTACATTTCCCTAGTTTAGAGACCAGGGATGTTTGGAGCCCCAGGGCTCCCAGCCCAAGGGGTGCTTCAGGGGGTGCTGTTTGCAGGAGCTCAGGACGTGCCTCTGAGCCCCTGGGTGCGCGGAGGACACCCCACATACACACACACACCGACGGCCAAGCGATTCTCTCCCCGGAGAGCTGCGGGCACCGCACTCGGGCAGCGCTCTGGCCAACGCTGGGCCTGGGGGCTGCCAGGGCCGGGCCCGGGGAGGGGCGATGCGGCAGCGCCCGGGGGGGCTCGGTGCAGATGCGGGAACACGGCCCCGTCCGGGGCGGTGCCGCTGCGGGGGCGGCGCCGGGGGGCTCCGCAGGGCGCGGATGCCGGCGGGGCCCGCGCGGTCACTCACTCGGTGATCTTGGGGTCCAGGTTGCCGATCCAGAGGCGGTGCCCGTCCTGCAGCGCGCCCTCGGAGAGGATGGAGGCGTTCTCCAGCGGCAGCGCCTGGCGGCCCGGCTCCATGGCGGTGCGGGGGGCGGCCCGGGCCGCTCTCAGTCCCCGGGGGCCGCGGCCGCTCCGTCCCCGCGCAGGCCTCGCCCCGCCCTTGGCGCCGCTCTCTGACGTCACTGCGGCCCAGCCGATGACGTTATCTGGACGCGCGGGGCTGCGCTAAGGTGAGCGAGGCGGTGGCGCCCGCCCTCCCCCGCCTTCCTTCCCCTCCCCTTCGCCGCCCCCGGCCCCCGATCCCTGTCCCCGATTCCCGATCGCCGATCCCCGCTCCTCGGCCCGGCTTTCCACGGGCCACCGGGGCCGGCGGGCCGGGCCGGGGCGTCCTGAGCAGCGGGAGCGGCGTGGGCGGGGCCAGGCGTGAGGCGGTGTTAATGAGGGGCGGGGCCGGGATGGGCGGGGCCTGTGCGCACCTGCGCGGGACCGGCGGCACCGGCGGGGACCGGCACCGGCACCGGCACCGGTACCGAGGAGCAGGGACCGGGACAGGACCGGGGGTCGGGTGCCCCCGGCGCAGGGAGGGCCGGTTCCCCCGGTGGCCGCTCCCCGCTGCCCGCGCCGCCGGCTCCGCGGGGACCGAGTCCCGTTAGTGTAGCCACAGCTTTGATCCGCAGCTGCTGAAACTCCCCGGAGCCTGCCCAGGCTGCAGTAATCCCTGTGAATGTGGGGGTGTCAGAGCTCTTGAGACAGAAATTAAAGTTCCAGCCCGGCTGATGTGCGAACACCCGATACCGGGCTGAGCTGTTCCTACTCAGCAGGCCTGGGTTTTGTGTCAGACATCTGGGCAGATGTGCAAAGGCCACGCTGATACCGCGGGCACGGGCTGACAGCCGTGTGCCCTGTGGTCACTGCAGATCCCCACGTCACTGAGCTGTCACCTTGTCCCCACAGCCGCCACTAAGAGCTGAATCTGTTTGGTTTTAGCACGCCAAGCTGCACGCCTGCCTTTCTCCTCTCCGGGTGGATCAGAGAGGAGTCAGCAATGGCTCTGGCGCTGAGGTGGCTCCGTCCTCTCCCGTCCCTGCTGCACCGTTCCTCCTTTGCCATGGCCAGGGGGCTGCCCCAGGCTGCCAGAGGCTGCCCAGCCCCGCTCCTGGAGGGCTGCAGGCAATGTGTCCAGCACATGCTGCTGAGCAGACAGCTGGCTACCAAAAAAGGTAAAAATGACAGCTCTTTTCACGGTTTTGCAGCCTCTCTCTCTCAATATTTAAATATTTTTAATATATTTATTGATTTTGGCTGATGTGCTCAAATGGGCCACATTTTTAATGAGCTCCTTACTCATTAAAAATACAGTTACTCTGGTTTTACTTTAGTTTATTTTAGACTCAGTTCTAAATCTGACCAGATCTTTATCTTTTTTCTACTTTCTAATTAGCTTGTCAGAAATAGAAACTAATTTTTTTTGTGTAATCTGCAGCTAAAGGTAAAGGGCAGAGTCAAGCCAAAGTGAATATCAGTGCTGCCCTAGTCGAGGATATTATCAATTTGGAGGAAACCAGTGAAGATATGCAGGCAGTCATAGAAGCTCTGAAAGAAGATTTCAACAGAAATCTCAATGTTAGAACCTCACCAGGTTGGTAACTTCCTTGTGTGATGCTCTGTAGCCTTGTAAATAAGGATACAAATCCTAGTAATGGACAACTCAGATCTTTTCAAAATCAATTTTCTTTTCCTGGAGTTATCCTCTGGGCATCCAGTTCCTACAACCCTGACATCCCCAGCTAGAGGCTTTCTTCACCCTGAGCTTGACCAGGAAGGATCCATTTTTGTTAATAGCTTCCTGGAAATAGCTTTTTTAAGTGGGAGATGTCAAAAGTGTCTAACTGAACTGTTTGCAGATGTGATGGAGAAGCAGGTTGTCAGCTAATGGTGCAGTAGGGCAGGAAAAATCCAATTGCCATTAAATTAGCCTTTTGGAAATTGCCATTGGGCTGGTGTCTGGCATATACAAACTTTTTTCTGCTGTGTGTCTTTGTGGCTAGTAACCCATACAAGCCTTGTTCACTTCATGGATTTTGTGTTTTTGGAAGAAATGTGATTATGTTTGACTAAGCTACAGTTACTCTAACATACTCTGAACATATGCATTTGTAAGTGTATCAAGTTTCAGGGATAAAACTTAACATTAAACAATGACCAAATCTGAATCGTTCACCACCCCAGCTCTGGCAGGGGCACTTCTGTCTATAATGGAGCTGGACAGCATAGCTCAGTCTCTTAACTATTTCGTTTAACCATAGGTATTTTTTTTAATTGCACTGATAAAGTACCTCCTGTCCCATGTGCCTTTTGGCCTGTTAACATTTTACAGCAGAAAGTAGAGAGCAGATTAAGAGTAGCTCAGGGAGAAACTGAATACTTTAAATTAGGCAGTGTACAACCCCCCTCTTGGGGCCTGGAAAAAAAAAAAAAAGAGGGGTTTTAAGAGAGCACTGCTAAGTTAAAGACAATATTTGTCTTGATTTTTATAGCAACATTTTGATTTTCTTTAAGTTGTAAGAATTAAAAAATAACCATTTCCCTTTAATTCTTAACAATCCTGCTTAGTTTTCCTATTCTAGTAGCAAAAACAAACAAGAGTTTTGTTTTCATGTTTTTGTGCTTTAGAGCAGCTTTGAAATATTTAACTGGTGAATACACAGGGGATGCCTGGACACAAACAGCACCTGAAGTCTGAATAAACAGTGTTTTTTCCTTTGTAACCTCTGGATTTTGCATGGCACAAGGGAAGTGGGACAATGTGGACACGTTTCTCTTCAGCATCACTGCACACTGTTTTATCACTGTTTTATCACACTGAACCTCTCTTGTTTGGTTCTTTTGAGGGGCCCTGGATCACATAACTGTGATGACAAAGGATGGGAAGTTTCCTCTGAACCAGCTGGGACAGATCTCACAGAAGTCACCACAGCTCATGATAGTGAACATGACCAATTTTCCAGAGGTGAGGACACATTGGGAGGGGAGATAATTGCCAGAGGAGCAAACAGGTTGATGCTGAGCACATTTTAGGCATTTAGGCAAAATCAGTCAAACGTGGCAGGGCTTCAGGTTCGGGCTGGGCTGTGTCACTTTGAGCTGACACAGAACAGAAGGGGCATTTTGCTGCTGACAGCAACTCCCCAGCCCCATGTGGCTCCCAGAGCAGCTCACCTGCAGCAGCACAGGGTCAGAGGAGAGTTACTGAGTGCTGTGGTTGCTCTCAGGGTTGTATCCAAGGAGTGCCACAGTTACAGGGGTTTGCTTTGCAGGCGCTTTCCCCTCAGTTGGATCTGCAAAACAACACCAAGCATCGTGGACCAGATGCCTGAATTCACTGTTCCCTTCCAGCCCTCCCTATTTCCCATGCATTTATGAGAAGTCTGAGCACACACACACTCACCTGAGCTGCACACATGGCTGCAGTGCTGGATCAGCCCCTTATATTCATTTCAGTTCCTTGTCAAGACGTGGCCATGCACAGAGCCAGACGTGTAGTTGCAATTTGTGCTGGGGACTTCATCAGATGCCTCTGAAACTTGCTTATGTGTTACCAGGGCTGGTGATACCCCTGAGAGTTCATGAGAGAAGCTGCTGATGGAGCCTGTGACCTTCTGAACAGCTTCCCTGGTGGGACTGAGCTGGCTGGTGCTAAGTGCTGTCACAGAGCTCAACCCAGGCACTGCTGAGCTTAGCCAGCTCCTCCCTTGGCAGCACCTCCAGGTCAGAACCCAAATTAGGGGCTCCGGTTTATCTTCTGTGAGAGACAAATTCTTTTAATTTTCTGCAGGAGCCTTAGACCTGCCCCTGGATGAGGCAGCAAATCCAAACCCCAGCTCAGGATGAAGCCCTTGTGGTGCCCTGCAGCAGGTCCCTCCTGGGCACAGGGGAGCAGGAGTGAGCAAGGTTAACAATTCATCCTGCTCCAGGGCTGGAGCTGTGCCAGGCCTTATCTCTATTTATTTTGCAAAGGCTTTTCCCGATTAATTAAGTCAGCAAAGTCTCAGAGGAGGTCAGTGTAAGGCACTTGATGCATAAGTGTTTCTTAGAGTGTATCCCATGTGTATGAAGGCTCTGAAGAATGGAGGCCCCTCATCAGCGAGGTCCCACAGAGTGTCAGCACTGACAGGGCCAGGGAAGTCCCTCCATGCCTTGTCCCATGTCCAAGCAGGAGCTCAGGCTGAGAAATGGGCATGTGAGAAATTAAATATCCTCCAGATAGCATTGCCTACATTTGCTTTCTAAGCCAAAGGACCTCTTGTCACTTGAACCATTTCTCTCACTACAGTTGCTTTATACCCATATCTGTTTTCTGATAGATTGAACTAAAACCGTTAGAGACATGATCACTTCATGTCATTATTTACAGCATACAGACAGTAGTTCATTACATTGAGAAGCAAGTAAAATTGCCTAAAAAGTCTGAGAAATGAAATAATCAAAAAAGGACTTGCAGAGCCAAAGTCTGTCTTCCCAAGAGTTATAAAACCAAACAACACTGGGTTTTAAATACAGGGTTTTTTTTGCAGGCTACAAGAGGATGGAGGCAATACTGCAATATTTTCCCTTCTCTCATTATTTTCCTCTTCTATCTCCTCCAATATCTATGTTAAACAACACAGTTTTTACTGAGTATTTCTTTCCTGCAGAACAGGCATTGTCCATGGAATAACACATTGACATTCCTAACGTGCTGAGATCATTTTGGTTGCATTTTCTCTGCCCTTGTAGTTTCAGGGGACAGCAGTTGTCTCCTACAGAATACAGAGCATTCCTACATTCTCCTACAGCAGAGCATTCATTTTGTTCAGTGATGTCACACCTTAGGGACCTGAACAAATCTACAGAGCTTTAGTTTGTCCTCCTCAGCTGACAAAAGCTGAGCTTTATAAATACAGCCTGAGCTGCATAAATACTGCAGCAGTCTGGAGCTAAAGTTAATGATGGCAGAGAGTATCAGAAATAACATCGTGCCTGGTAAGAAACGTGAGTGCCACAGGAAAAAAGACTCCCGAGTCGAGAATGAAGTGACCTGGCAGAGCCCTGTGGGGGTTCTTGGCCAAACTCTACTTTAACCCCAAAGCCTGGCACTCTGTAGAGGTGCACCCACACTTTGTGCCAGGGCTGAAGCCTTTTAATCACCTTGCAGTCACCAAGCAAACCTGCCACCCACCTTCTAGGCACAGCAGAGTGTCAGTCAGCGGCGGGAGAGTTTTGAGAAGTTAATCCTCAGTAATAAGCTGTAAAATAAACAGAGCTGGGCACGAGCACTGCTTCTCAGCCATCTGCTACTGCCCTGCTGTCCTGTGGTCAGGTTGTAGTGCTGAAGTGGTTAAGTTCGTTAAGGTTTCAGAATTGGCACTGGGTGATTTCTAGGGGGAAACATGCAACTGGAATTTTTAAATGCTCGGAATCTTTCATCTCCTTTGCCACAGTCAGGCCCTGCCTTGGGAATTTATTGCGGTTTCACTCTGCGTTGCCTCAAACCATTCAAATAGTTTCAAAGAAGCAAAGCAGTTTTCTTTTGTTGCTGCTTCCCTTCCCCTCTCCTCCCTCCGTGCCCCCCTACCCCAATAGGAGCAGCCATAGTTTCCCATTCGGTTTGATCAAAGCTCTCTGCACCAATGTAACTTCCTGATCTTACTGGTAACACAAGTAAATGTTTCCATGTCCCATGGAGATGGATTGCCAACTATTGACAGAGTTCTGGCATATGGCAATGATTATTTCCTAATTCCCTTTACCTTTTGATCTGTTTTACAGAGCACAGCTGCAGCTGCCAAGGCTATAAGGGAGAGTGGCATGAACCTGAACCCAGAGGTGGACGGGACAGTGATTCGGGTGCCAGTTCCCAAGTAAGTATTGATGGCCGAGCTCATCATCGTGGCAGGATAACACAGAACATTGCTGTGAGTGCCCTTCAGAGGGCAAACATGCAGGATTGCTGAATATCCCCATGCAGCTGCTTTCCAAAGAGCTGCAGTCCGGGTTTGGGAAAAAATCTGAGCTCTTAGAAGCATCTTGTGAAACCTCTTTGGAGTGTCTGAGCTCTAAGTCACCACATCTTGCCATCTGATGATTGGTCTTATTTTTCATCTTCCCTCTGCAGACGAAGCTTGGTCCTAGCTTGGTCCCTGCAGAGAGAGCCAAATGCTTTTGAAAGTGTATTGCTTTAATTCAGGGGCTGATTCTTTGCTGCCCTGCTCTAAATTCCTGGAATTACACCAGCACAGAACAGCAGCGTTGAACCAGTAGTTTCAGGGGAGAGTAGCACCTTGCTGCAGAGAGCACTGAAAGGAACTGATGAAAGTGAGAAGGAGATTTATAGCTTTGACAGAAAAATCTGCTTTTTTGTGTAATACACAGTGTGTAACTGGTGGCTGTATGGAAAATTTGGTCTAGGGCTGGAAAAGCAGATTCCCCTGGGCAAGGGCTGAGCATCACTTCCCTCACCCAACACAAATATCCCCCAGACCTTGGACAAGGCAGGAGGTGCTGCAGCATCCATGCTTCAGTTTGGATGAGAAGTGATCCTGGCCCTGCCTGGGAATGGGGCTCCATTCCCATGGAATCAGAGACCTCCCAGCAGCTCCACCCACTGACACACAGAGCCTGGCACAGGGCTGGGGGGCACAAGGAAAATTCCCGAGTTCTTGTGGGTGCTCAGACTTTATGGAGCATCTGAACACCCTGGCCAGGTGTGGCTGGGCACGGTTTCACACCATGGGAAAGACAAACAGCTCCCACACGGGGCGTGCACAAACCTCTTGCACAAGCAGGTGACTTCTTGGCAAAGATGAACCAGGTCTTTCTTGTGCTGCAAATCTCCTTTAAAAAATTTTGTGGAATTTTCCCCAGCGTTTTGATCAGAGAAGTCTAATTGCAGCTTTCCGTTGCTGTCGGTGAGAGGGAATGACATTATCATTCTATTTGCTGATTCTCCTTCCCTGTGCTCCCTGCCCTTCCCCCATTCCTCAGGAGAGGAGGCAGAGGAGGAGGAGGAGGGCACCATTATCTTCGTAATTGCTGAGGCTCCCGGCTTGCTGCACAGTGGTTTGATTGTTAATGGGCACTTGGGTCATCCTTGAATACGAATTGCAGGGGAGGAAACTCCAAAACTGCAAATCCCAAGCTTTAACAAAATACTGTGTTTTTAAACAAATTTGTACGGTCTGTCACTATCTTGGGTGGTGCTGCAGAGTGAAGACAAGGCTTCTCTTCCCGGGGAAGCTCTGCCTGTGCTCCTGTGTTCCTCTCCTGTGGCAGGGTTGCAGCTCTTGGTCCCTTCATGGCAGTTTGGGAGCCTGGGAAGTCCTGAGCTGTGCCCTCACTGGCACCTCCAGTCCCTTTTGCTCTCTAGCTCCATGTCTGGGGCTGTGGGAGTTCCAGCCTTTTAAAACCCCCTAATGAAAACAGCAGGGCAGAAATAATTATATCCCTCATTCACTTTTTAAAATTTTTTAAAAGTTTTGCATTATTTCCAGCAGTTCATGAAAGAATATATGACAGAGAGGTGCAGTGAAATTGCAGAATTACATCAGGTGGGCAAAATCAGCAACAAATCAGAAATGAAGAGACAATATTAATATTGGTTCTGCAGTCTTTGGTTCTGTCATGAAGGGAGGCACAGTAAAAATAAAACCAAATCCAAATTGTCCTTACCTGTTATTATAACCACTCTTTAGTCTGACCTGTCAGCTGGACACACGTGTCATATTTTACCTTGTGCAAATCCAGCTGCACTCCAGAGTGTTTCAACAGAGCATTTAAAAATGGAATTTGCTTTTCAGTATTTATTCTATCCGTTTAGTTTTTGCAATGCAGTTTTAACAGAAAAAATACACTCGTGTCATTGGTGTTTACTTCTGCTGCCTGCCAGGATCCCTCTGCTCCCCAAGGCATTCTCCTATTTGTGTGGCTAGCACTGCATAGGCAATATTTATTTGTATAAAAAGGAACCTCTGAGGGTTTAAAAATAAAAATTAAAAAAAAAAGAATGAAAGAAAGAAAACCATCCATGGGAACGTTTGTATTGGTTGATCTCGTGGCCGAATTTGACCTGACCTTGTGTCTTTTATGGTATTGCCTCATTTTTAGATTCATCTTTTTTGGACCTATTGTGTTACACTGGATATTGTTTGTAAATCAGTAATATTTTTACACATGCTTTACTGAAAGCCAGATGACTCATTTGAAAGTTTAATGACTCATTGTGAGCCTTTTTTTCCCTTTGCCCTTTAAGAAATAAGCAAAGATTCCTACTATGGGGAGAAAGGACCAAAAAATGTCATTTGAAAACACCCCAAAGCTGTTTTGAGCTGCTCCTGCTCATCATCAGGAGCCTCTTGCTTGTGTTTTATTGAGCAATAAATGTTGCACCCTGTGTTTATCTGCAATTATGAATGCAGAGTGTTTAGTTTAGCCTGCTTTCCTTTAACTGATTCCTCTCCTTCACAGGAAATTCCTGGTGTTGGAGGTACAGAAATGGCTCTTACCCAGAGAAGTGCCTTGGGTCGCTCTCCCTGAGGGTCTGCCCTGCCACACGCAGGGGTGGGACATTGAGGGCTGCAGTGCATAAACCCCTGGGGCTGGGGGAGCCAGAAAAAAAGAAGTGACCCTCCCTGACATGTCACTCACCAGGCCCTGCCCCGGTGCAGGCAGGACAAGGCTGTCCCTGGGGAGTGGCAGGGATTGACCCTGCTGCTCCATGGGCTGCAGGGGAGGGCAGCTGCCCGGGACCTTGTCCTCATTCCCCATCTGACCCCCTTTCCCCAAGTTCATTTCACACTTTGTTTTGCCTTTAAGAGGGGGTAGGGACAATGGTTACTAGACAGAAAAGAAAACATACCTAAGAACAGCTTAAAAGTCCCAGATCTCGGGGCAGGATTAAAGCAACTGTCCTTAGAAACCTCAGGCCTGGCTTGTGTTGATGGATTCCTTAACCAGAAACAGCATCTGCTTGGAAAAGTGTCCGTTTCTGGCATTATTGGTAGCATTGCTGAGAATTTACACACAGTCTGGCTGGAACATAAAACCCGCTGAGAAACTCCCCGGCACTGCGCGGTGATAAAAAGAAATTGGTGTTAATAAAGACAGACAAGGAGGCATGAAAGCTGTGACCCAGTGCCAAGAAGCAGAGGAAATCTGGCAGTGCTGCATAAACAAAAACATTTCCTTCAAGGCTCAGCAGCCCCGGGCAGGCGAGCGATACCCTCGGCACAGCTCGGAGCTCGGGCTCCCACAGCTGAGCAGCTCCCTCCCACCCAGCAGGAGATGGGAGAGATTCCCAGCTCCCTCCTGCAGGCTGAGCAGCCAGGATTGACACCCTGCTTCCCCCCCAAAAGCTGCCTGAGAACGTGACCTCACCCAGACCTGTGCCTGTGAGCTGGATCTGGGGGTTCCAGATGTGCCCCGGGGTTCTGGCTGGGGAGGTTGGATGTGAGAAGCCCCGGAGGCATCAACGTTGGGATGCAGGGGAACCACGAGGATCCCTGCTCCCTCTCGGGCAGGCATTTGGACCAGGCTCAAGCCTGTGCTGACCAGAAGCCTCCTGCCACACGTGGTGAGTTAGGCTGGAGATCAGGGAAAGGTTCTTCCCCCAGAGGGTGGTGGGGCTGTGTCCAGGCTCCCCAGGGAATGGGCACAGCCCCAGGAGCATTTGGACAACACTCTCAGGCACTAGGTTGGATTTTGAGGTTGTCCTGTGCAGGGCCAGGAGTTGGGCTCTTCCAGCTCAGGGTATTCTGAGATTCCATGTGACATTCCCTGGCCAGCTCCCTGCACAGTCCCTCAGCAGGAGGGGCCAGGCTGGGGTGCCCTGGGTGCCAGGGCTGGGGTTCTGCTCTCTGGCTCTGCCAGCTTTCCTGGCCATCCCAAATTCCTGTAAATACTAACTGCTTCTGGGAAACCTCTTCCCTTTGGCTCTGTGAAATGGGGATGGCTGCCAGAGACCTGGCTGTGGGGACAGACTGAGGGTCCAGCTGTGTCCCCAGAGCCCCCCATAACCCACAGCCACTGTGGGGCAGAGCCCAGGGACTCTCACCCCACATTTCCTGAGCTCTCTCTGGAAAGAGTCCTGGCCCCAGGGTTTTGGTGACCCAGGCTGCTGCAGGCAATTTCTAAATACTCCTGTGAAATGTTTATTTTGCAGTATCACCCCCACGCATTCTCCTGCTAGTGAGTCTCAGGGAATGCACTGGGGTTTTTCCTTCTGCAGACAGTCTGGAAACTCCAAGAGCTGTGAAAATAATTAAAATATTGTTGTTAAGCACTAGCAATTGACAGCTGTAGGTGCTGGAGCATGACCCGAGCTGAGGGGACACAGCTATTCCTGAGCCTTTTTTGATGGCCAGACCCTCTCATCACCAGTTTCCAGTTCGGGATAGAAAGTTGAACATTTTTTGTGACACCACAGCAGTAACTGGCCCCACATCAGGGGGAAGGTTCACTGGGAGCTCTCCTGGGCTGAGTTACCTGTGGCTTACCATGTCCAGCAGCATCCTCTTGTCAACCCAGGTGTTCATATCATCTTGGTGGGAAATCCTGGTCATGGTGAGCTGGAATAAGATTGAGTGAAAGATGAACTCGTTAACTTCCAGGTACATAATTCAGGCTCTTCAGCTGCAGGGAGGCAAATCCAAGTTTCAGGAGCAGACATTTCCGCCTGGCTTTGCAGTTTGGTGCTTTTTAGGATGACACTTTTCAGTTCCATCTTTCAAGTCTGGAGCTGGATTTTTCCTCTTTCCCACACATGCTTTGGCAGCAGGAAGTAAGGAAAGTCTGAACATTTCAAGATGACTTTCAGGCACTGCAGCAACAACTATAAAGCAAGATTCAGTCCAAGATCCCCAGCTTAGGGCTGGGCTGGAAATTTTCCATTCTAGACTCAAGACTTGCTTCCCTGGGATGCTGTGCAGAGCTGGCAGATTTTCTCAGGTGGACCAAAGCAGAATAAAAACATGACCTGAGCTGTTCAGTCCCTCTGCCCTGAGACACAGTGTTTCCACACAGAGCCAGCTCCATCTTAAACCAGCAGCTTTTGTGTGTCCCTGGGCAGGACAGCACCAGTTGGAGAGGATCACTCATTTACCCAGAATCCTTCACAGAAAATAAATCTGGCTGTGCTACACATGACACTGCTTTTCCTTTCTATGTTTTTCCTCTCTCTCCTAGGGTCACGAGAGAGCACAGGGAGAGCCTGGCCAAGCTGGCCAAGCAATCCACCAACAAATCCAAAGAGGCCCTGAGAAAGGTGAGAAGCAAAAGCATCACCCAAGTAAAGAAGTTCAAGAACAAAGTGTCAGAAGATACCATCTGGCTGCTAGAAAAGCAGGTATTTTTTCTTTCCTTCTGCCATATGATGGTGTCCCACAGCTCAGTGGTTTGTCCCAGCCCTTGCTGACAAATCCTCAGCACTGAGAACCCAGCAGGGCAATGGACAGCCCTGGGCTGAATTTTTGGAGTTGGCAATGACATTTGTATCTGCTTTTTCTTTGTGAAATTTGGAGCCTCAATCTCAAAGCCAGATTTAGGATATGAACCATTGTAAGCTGACACAGGGAAAAAGAATTCCCCAAAAGCTTTTGTGCTACAAGGGATTGTTGCACAAACCAGCAGAATTTAGGGGGTGAAACAATCCATGACCATGGCTGTACCACCATTCATGCCATGCCTGGCCACTGCAAATGTGTTAATGAGCATTGCTCTAGTTGTTATTAATGAAAAGGCTTGCAAGATTATCTCTGTTCAGAGTTTTTGGCTCCAATTCAGGAAAATACTTAAGCACATGCCTAATTCCCTAAGAGCAGATGTCACTAAAGTCAATTACTTGGGCATAAACTCAGGCACAAGCCTAAGTGTTCTGCTGAATTGATGCCTCTGAAGGCAGGCCATTACTTCTTAGCTGTTTGTTTATTAACAGCTAAAGTTAGATACATTGCAAATGCTCTGGGACAGTTCTCTGTGTGCTCACAAAAATAAACATCGATATACAGAGCGTTTGTGCAAGCAGGAAAAATGGCCATGCCATTGTAACCAAATCCTGTTGGGAAGCAGCTCTCCCAGAACACACAGATGGTTTTCTGCATTGGTAGAGGTAACATCTCCACTGGAATTTTTTTCTTGCACCCAAATTTTTCATTATGAGCAAAGGTCATTGTCAGACCCTGCAGACAAGCAAATCTTAATCCAGTGAAACCAGTGCATAACACACAGTGTACTCCAGTCTTTACCTGCCTGCACATTTTCATGCCTTTTGTACTCTGGCCATGTCCATCTCTTGTTACCAAGAGAGCTGATCCCTGGGCAGGGCTTGAGCAATCACCATTTAATTTCTTTCTACAAGAAATAAACAGCTTGTTATATGATGTGTGAATTCCTGGCGTGTGCACAGGACATTACCTGTGTGTTCCTGTAGTGCTGCCAGAGGTGACAGCCCCTCTTCCCTGGTGCCAGCACCAGCAGGTCTCTGTCTCTGCCCTGAGTCTCTCTGTTTAACCTGACCAAGCCCCCTGTGCAGCTCAGCCAGGAGTTTGTGTGGGCATCTCTTTTCAGAGCCTTTGACCAGTCCCTGCTGTCACAGCGTGGGTGCCACGCTGGCACAGATCCCTGAGGGCTGGTGGGAACCCCCAAGACGAGCCAGTTATTGCCCCAGCACTACTGGGGTTTTATTGACACTTTAAGCTTTGCTCCCAAGGGTGATTTGGTCACTCCCTTTAAACTGTGGCATCACCTCACACAGAACTCTGATTTCACTGTCTTGCCACAGATCCAGCAAATGGCAGATGAGGCTGCCACGGAGATGGACAAGCTGCTGGCAGCAAAGACCAAGGAGCTGCTTGGATAAACACCATCCCCATGGCCACACTCCCCCTGGAGCAGGAATGGACTGGCACACACTCCAGCAATCTCAGGGATGGGCAGGGGCAGCTCTGTGCCTTGGCTGCTCCATTACCTACCTTGGGCTGTGCTGAAGGGAAGGGGGAGCTCTCCTTGCTGTCATTTACCAAGGTGGGTACAGAATTGGATGAACTGAGATAAAAAATAAAATATCAGAAGAGCTGGACACTGCTAGAGGCTCAGAGGAAGGACTGCCCTGCTCACTTTGTGCCCCATCTTTGCCCTGCACCATCAGCCCCCTTGAGCCAGGACCACCCACGAGAGGAACCTGCCTGTCCTGCTGCAAACATCAGCATTTATTTTTGCTTGAAATAAAGCCAGAATGAAGTGTGGAGTAGCAGCCTCACGACAGCCAGGTCCTGCTTGGTGTGTTCCCTTGGCCACACATGTTCCAAGCAAGCATTTGCTCCATGGCATGGCTGGCAGCTGCCAGCAGAGTGGGAAGGGATGAGAGAGCTCAGCACAGGGTGGGCAAGGGCTCTGTGAGGAGAGAGAAGACCTAAAGCCAACACAGGAACTTCCCAAAAGCAGCATCTGCCTCCTCCTCTCCTCCTTTACAAAATGCCTGTGAGTCTCTGGCAGCACAGATTAGGGCTTGGAGGAGGCACAAGCAGAGCAGGTCCTGAGCACATCACACAGCTCAGCCCCTCTCTGTGAGCAGGTACTTCCCGAGGGCAGCAGATGGCCTCAGTGGTGGCAGCAGCAGGAAGGTGGTGGCAGCCCCCCAGCCCTGCTCCCAAGGCATTTGGGTTCAAAGAGCACCAAGTGCTCTGCACTCCTTAAATAAACAACTCCCCAAAAGTTAGTTTGTGTGCCGCAGGGAGGGGGAGGAGGATGAAGGATTTGCTCTGCTAGGGCCCCACATGTCAACAATTTCTCTGCTTTGTGTATTTTGGCCAAAGCCCTTACCATGATAAATGAATAAAGGAAGATGGCGAGCCCAGGGCGGTTCCACAGCTCGGGAAATTGCTTTCAGCCGATTACTGGATTTCTTTTGACATTTATCAAATGGGCTTTTTTTCTTGCCATTGTTGCAGCCTCAGCATCCTCAGAGCAGCCTGGGCTGGAAGGGTTTCCCTGATACCTGCCCAGGAGCAGCAGCTGGGAGCTCCACAAAGCCAGGGCAGGTGGAGAACTGCTGCTGCTCATGGAGGCTTCTCCAGCCTCTTCCCATTCTCCAAGCCCTTGGGGTGCTGGCAGTGGGCTGGTGGAGGCAGGCAGTGGAGCTACAGGGGGTCATGTACATGGGAATTGCCCAAATATTTACCACTACACAAGGAATAAAACCTGTGGTAAAACTACCCTGGTGCTTGGCTGGGGAGCCCATTTACCTGCATCACCCTCTCTCCCCTATGCCCTGCATCAGCCAGGAGCAGCCCAGGGCCCAGAGGAACTGCTCTCAGCCCTGGTACCACCAAAGCAGGGCAAACAGGACGTGAATCTGGGGAGCTGTGCCCCCACTGTCCATCCTGCTCCTGTGGGACAAACAGAAAAGAACAGCACAGCCCCAGCACCTCCCAGCACACAGAACTGCAGCAGAAGCACCCAGGAAAAGAGAGGATGGGCACTCACCATCAGCTGGCTCACAGGACGGCCCTGGAGAGGTCCCACTTTCCTTTTGCAGCATTAATCACCTGCTGCTCCACATCAGGAGCTGCAGCACAAGGTCTGCCTGCTCCAAACACTCCTCCACTGGCACCAGCAGGAACCTCTCACTTGGTTCCAGCCTGGATTGCACCCAGAGCTGATAAGAAGCTGCAGCTGATGCTGTTGGCGGGTGGGAAAGGAGCTCCAGCTGTGCCAAATAACCCAGGAGGGGAAGGGACATGGGCCAGAAAGCAGCTGGGCTGCTTTAATGTGGGTCGGTGTCAGTGATGCCACATCAGCCACCTCATGGTTTGGCCTGGGCAGGGCAGAGGGTGAGGGGGGGCCATGGCCGGACCCCCTCTGTCCCCTGGGGGGGCTACTGTCACAGGGACCCCTCTCCTGACAGCATCTGTCAGCCTGGGTCACTGGCAGCTCCTACCTGGTGGGCACTGCTGTCACCTGGAGGGGTGGGGGGGGTCACTCCCAACACCAGGAATACATCCCTGTGCACATCCCTGCTCAGGACAGACCTGTGCCCTCCCCAGGCTGCCCAAAGCCACTCTTAGCTCCACCAGGATGTCCCAATGCTCCAAGCAGCTGGACAACACCAGGGCACACACCAGGCTCCTGCCAGCTCCTGGACCGAGCCCCGTGGCCGCAGAAACAGAGGCAAAGAGAAGGAAAAACTCCAAGGAAGCTGGAAGCTCTCGACATAGTTAAAAAACAACATTGCTCTTCAAAATAGATGTGATTGCGCTCCTTGTGAGTCATCGAGCAGAGACACCAAGATTGCTTTGTGCCAGGGACGAGCCGGGCGCTGATTGTGCCGCCCGGATTTGTATCCAACAGACCCTGGATGGCATGTCAGAGTTTACAGCGCGCATACATTTTCAACAGTGAGCTTTGCAAAATGTATCAATGTAATCTCTGCCTCCTATATTCCGTGTTGATTAGACACGATTTCTGGCTGGATTTTCAGAAAGCTCAAGTGCTTTTTTAATCACTACAGAAGCTCATTATTGCTTTCCAGTGACTCTTATGTCCTTCACTTCTCCTTTCAGATTAGAGTCTATAGTCAGATGAATATTGGATGATTTCATTACATACAAATGCAATCAACAGTTTTGCATAAATTTCTCCTCTTTTCTTGAGTTTCAATTGACCTCAGCACCCGTGGAGGCAGGCGCAATACACATGTAAATGAGCTGGCGTTGCTGCAAAGACACGGATTCGAGAAACAAGATAAACTGTCAGATAATATTCAGGATTTTTAAGAGATCAAAAAATACTTCCTCGTTCAGCCCAGCCGTAAAAATGGCACCTTCAGCTGCTGGGGAATTTGCTTTTGTTTTGCTCGTGTCTGGCTGTGGACAAAGACCAGGAGTGGAACCAGTGGCCAAGTGGGGGCTGAGCAGAGCCGGGCTGGCCAGCAGCGGTGCTGTGGGGATGGCAGAGGGGTGTCCGTGGGGTGCAGGTGGTGGTGGACAAGTCTCCTGCCACAGAGAAGCCACTGCTGGAGTCCTGTGCCCCCAGCACACTGGGGAGGTGCCCATACAGCCCAGTGCCCGCTGCAGAGCCGGGTTTGGTGGCTCTGCTGGTGCTGGTATCAATGGTGGCACTGCCATCCCCATTCCTGCCCTGGTGGGACCATCCCAAAGGGATGCTGAGTTCAGACCCCTCGGACCCCTTACCCCTCCTGGGCAGTCCCGAGCACCAGCCCAGCAGTGGGGGCACCTGCTGGGGAGCAGGGCTGGGCCAGGGCTGCCCTCCTCACCCTGTGCTACCCACACACAGGGGAAACACACATTCCAAATATATTTAAGCTAACACTCCACACGAACAATCAGGGCTAATTTTAAAAAACTGTAATTAAAAATAAAGGACCTCTTGGTAGAGAAGTCGGGGTAAACTGTCAGCGGTTACTTTGGATGTGAAGCCCTTACCTTTAAAAGAATCATTTTTGTGCTAATGTGAGCAATCCAGCACTCCCACACTCGCCTTCAGGGGGCCTGTGGGGAAAGAAACTCGTGGGTTTCTTTTGATACCTTTACTTGCTAATCTTCTTAACAGATTTTTAATTAATGGGAACAGAGCACTTTGCAGCCACGAAATCTATTGGTGTAATTGCCTGGTGGATTAGTCCCATTAACCACACAAATTACCTGTCTCCAGGCCGCCAGCCCCACCGGGGAGCTCCCTGCGCTGGACACACTGAGCAGCCCCATTCTGAAGCAATTTTGATAAAATAAACTCTCTAATCAGGTAAATAATTCCATAAGGGAAATTGCTGCCTTCCCGCAGCCCCCCTCCAGCGGGACCTGGCTACTTTCAGGGGAATGCAACACGCCTCCAATTACAGACAAATCTCCAGCTCAGAGACCATTTGGGAGAAGCCCACAGCACACGGGACCCCTCGAACCACAGTGGCTGAGGAATTAAGGCATTTAAGCTGTCAGCTGGAATCTGGCCCGGCCCCTGATTACCTGGGGGGACGTGCAGCATATTTAGGTTCGTGTCCGTTGTAATTTCCTGACCCCCAGCGTTGATCCCCAATGACTTGTGTCCGTGTCAGGCTCCTGCCCGCAGTCCCTCCGACACGTGGCCCTGGGCTCGGGGACACCGACCTTTGGGCAATTAAGGACATCCAGGCCAGCCTGAGCCTGGAGAAGTGGGAACAACGTGCAGCTGTCCCCAAGAGCCACGGGGTGAGCAGAGCCACCTGTGCCCATTTCACCACTGTGCCTGGTGACGCTGTTCTGGCTGCCATCACCCCTCAGGATGGACACCTGGACCCTTCCCAGCCCTGTCAATGGGTTTCCATGTTCCACTGAGATTTTGGATCTGAATCTTACAGAGACTCCCACAGCTGTCCTTTGCTCAGGGCCTGAGGTGGGGATGAGCTGCCCCAGGGATGCTGCAGGACCCAGGCACAGGGGAGTGCAGAGCACCCACGTGCTGTCACACGGCCATCACAGCCCCAACACGTTTCCCACTGCTTGGGAAGGGCTGCCCAGTGCCAGCCCCTCGGTCAGGATAGCCCCAAACCTGCCTGTGTCAGCTGGGGCGTCCCTCCACCCTCTGCCCCGTGCCAGGGAGCAGGAGTAGGGACCCTATTGTGAGCACATGTGTGGGGACACTGAGAGGGAGTGACAGCAGTGACACGCTGGTGGGGACGCCCTTAGGGTGAGGTGGCCGTCAACGATCCCCTGCAGGTCTCGGGTGATCAGTCCCAGTCCGGTTCCCTGATCCGAGATGGAGGAGCCCAAAGCGCTGTTCTTTCCCCTGTAACAGAAAGCTCAAACTCCCCCCTTGGTTGCCACCATCGCTCCTGGCACTGGGAGCAGAGGGTGATCCTTGGGGCCACTCCGGGCAGGACAGGACGTGTCGGTGGCCGAGCAGGCTGTGGTCCGGGCAGAGCCGGCCGGGGAACCCAACACCGCGGGTAATTGGCATCAGATGCTCCCTGACCTGCCGCATCCACCGGGAAGCTGGAAGCATTTATTTGTCTGAGCCGGCGGCTCTATCTGCGTGCGGGAGGCGTTGGCGGTGGCGGGGCTGGGCTCCGAGAGCCTAATGAGCCTGAGCTGAAGATGATGAATAT